TTACTATTGCCGCTTTTTTTTGCTCATCAGTTTCTTGATCTTTTAAGCAATTATAATACATGTAATATCTGATTTAAGATTTCACATTGAAATTGTTACTTTTAAACATGCACTAGGCGAAATTTTTTAGGTGTAAATACAATACCTGTCATACCAGTAGGCTTTCTTTGACAAGGATAAAAATAATGATTTTTATAAAGTTATGAGTGCCAAGCAAGTTGCAAGAAAAATGTGATGTAACCTGATAAGAGTATAATGGTCTCTTGCCAAGTACAAAAGAAACAGGAAAAACAAAAATTTATCACTGTCTGAGAGATCATAAGCTCATAACCATTAAGAAAAAAATGCATATATGCAAGAAACTAAAAAAGACATCCTGAGCCATTTCATGATATTGATAATAAAAAATCTGTGCAAAAACTTACCTGAAGATTCTCTATGGTAATTTGAATCCTTTTCATAGTACAATTTGTTCATTGCAGCTTGCTTGGTGCTGATTTACTCTTCGAATTTATTTCATTTTTTTCCCTAATGTAGATCAAGTTTTTATTTTTTTGAATATCATGTTCTCTTAAATCAAGAAAAATGTGTTGTAATTTGATGATAGTGTAATGGTCTCTTATCAAGTAGGAAAAATAAAAATTTATCACTGTCTAGATGACTATAGGCTTTTAAAAACTAAGAAAAAAATTCATATATACAAGAAGCAAAAGAAGACATTCTGAACCATTTCACAACCTTGGTAATAAAAAATTCATGCAAAAGATTATCTGAAGATTCTCTAAGGTAATTTGGTCCCTTTTCATAATATAATTTGTTTATTGATTTGAAAGAACATGATGTTTCAAAAAAATAAAACTTGATTTACATTAGGAAAAGAAGTCATGAATAGAATCAAATAGAGAAATCAATGAATATTGTGTTCTCATGACCCAAACTTCATAGAAATGTCTCCAAGTCATTGGTGAACAATATTCTAAAGTGTAAAAGCTTCCCAAGGATCGTGAAAAAACTCTGAAGAAAATTCGATGTGTTGGCTTTTGAAGAGGTTGTAGGCTGAATGTCTTGAGAAATCAAAGCGATATTAGATCCATATGAAGAGCTAATAATGTATTAGTTAGTGGTAAAAAAAATATTTTTATATTCATAAGACAGAAATAAAATAAATCCAAAGTTTTATTTTTTAAAAAAATCTGGGGTTACTTTTTGTGGCGACTTTACATGTAAAAGAATGCAACAAAAAGAGGTTTTTGGTCAATTTATAAAGCGACCTGGTTGGATGAACCATTGACTATGATTATTTCTCCTCCAAGACCATGTAGGATCATAAAGAAAATAGATTTAAACGAAGGGGAGATATTAAAGTTGTGTTGAAATCAATTACAAAATTCAAAGGAGAGTTTATAAACGAACATTTTTAAAGTGAAGATTGCTTTAGATTCTAATACAATCAAATTTTTCATGGAATAACTAAAATACATGTACATGTAATGCTTTGATTATTGTAACAAAGTACATGTAAATAAGAAAATAAAATAAACGCAAAAAGAAAACAAAATACATATTTTATTGGCTGTTCAAATGAAATAAGAAAATCTATAAACCAGATTTTTTGTAGTACATGTATATATGTGTATACCTTTATACCGAACCGATTTATTCCATTTTGTTCAAACCTTCCGATATCAATATACATAAACATGTAATTTGGACTTTTGTGTACATTTAACAATTAATGACATCCTATTTGGCTAGATTATTACACATATAGGATGTTTCGTCTATGTGGGCAATAAAAGAGCATGTCCCATTGCATGTATTTTTTCACAATGACATCGACGATAACAAAAACAATTCCAGCCTAAAGAATTGTCATCCTCTTCTGCAAATAACTGGCTGGAATATGTTAAATCAGAAGAAAAAATAAAATTTTTTGAGTTTTACAAATTTTTGATAAAAAGTAATTGGAAATGGAGTTGAAAGATGGAGATTTAACCGTTGCTTTAAAATGCCTTTATATGAAAAAGATAATGGAGAAATTAACAAACAACTTATTAAAGATATCATTTTATTTAAGAATTTATTTATTTGCTTATCATATATTATTCACTTTTATGGAATCATTCAAAATTTTTACTTAGAGTAATTTATTAAGTAGTAAAAAAATGTTTTTTAGATCCTATTTCCGAGAAATACATGCTCGATTTGAAATATGCTAATGATGATACTCTTAGAGTATTTAAACGCGAGTTTCGATAAATTGAGCGGAAATGACAAATTATATTTAGTAAAGCGTTCTTGATTTAGACGGGATACTACGTTACGTATACGGGCGTTTACGGAGTCGCACGCAATGATTACGAACGGTTAGGAACTTCATGGAGATGTATGTCAGGGATGCATGATGAACTCAAAACGTTTCTGTTCGGAATACGTCAGAAATTACTGACCATATACTTAACGAACAGAATGTACGAACACGTCAGGAACTTCATGGGATGTATATCAGGAATGCATAAGGAACACAAATCTTGTTTGAAACACGCTAGGAATGCATACGAAATACGAACTTAATGCATCGTGTTGAACCGGAAAACCATGGTATATGTTGGGAACCATAAGGAAACAAAAAACTTTTGGAAATGCACATGTAAAAATTAAATAGATGCCAATTCCATAATTAACGATTCACACCTAATGATTCCGGTGTTATTTTGACATTAAATGCCGAGACATAGTTAAGAATTTTTACAAAAGGAGCATGCAAGTAATACGAGATCGTGTGACTGTTTCTGCGTTAGACTTATTTGAAGATGATTTTTATCGGGTTTTTCGGATCTGTGAGTTGGTTATACCATTAGTATTTCCTCTCGCCAGATCGTTGAAGAATTTTTAAAGAATGCTCTTGAATTGAGATCCGTGGTTGAAAAAATTATCGCAATGGCGGTGGGTGTGAAAGATGAAATTAATCTTTTGCCAGTAATCGAAGATCGGACCCCGTCATCATCAATGATGTCGACCACGTATTCTCCACCAAAAGTTATTAGGTGATTTACTAGAGTGCCATATTTCTGTCTTGTATTTTATTTCTCCTATATCAATAAAGCTGGCCCTGGTGGATGAATTATCATAATTTGTGTGATATATGTGATTAAATTTTTCGGATAAACGTTACCCGTTATTTATCGGACACATGATCAAGTATCAAGTCGTATAGACGCATGCTGGAAAATTAAATCATATGCTTGTACGATGTTTGTCATGCCCGAAATAGATCCCAGATATAGAACGACGCATTATCAGTTACCTCATCTTGGTTGGGTGATCATCTGATATATACCACTTATCGATTATTTGGAACCAGCGCAAGAAGTTAGTATGATATGCCAAAAAAGCAGAGCTTAGAAATTCTACCAATATGGCAATAGATAAAGAAAGTATCTCTATCCTCAATGAAAGAATCAAGATTTTCTATAATCTGAATAAAGTAAGTTAAAGTATATGATTAAAGAAGTATTTTTAATGGATGAAGAGATATTTTTTGATATGATATATAGGTTAAGGCTTGAAGTATAGGGATAATTATTTGTCTTTCAAGGCAGGTCTAGAAGCCAATTGAATTCTTCCTTGTAAAGCTTTATATTTTTTATTATCAATAGATTGAGATCATTAAATTACTATTGTTTCTGTAGCAAGGATAAGAGGATCATCTGGGCTGATATGATTTTATTTCAAAATTACTAAGCTACAAGACAAGAAATAATTTACATGAATTCATCTAATAATTTTTATATACAGTCAAACCCCTTTATACCAGCTGCATTGAACTGGCCATTTTGGGCTGGTATAACATGACGCCAGTATATTATGTATACCAGCATTACTAAGTAGTGATCACGTTCTTCAGTATAAGCAGACAATAATTATATAATATAATGAGATTATATTGATTGACATATAACACAATAAAATCAATCTAGTTATGCGAGATACTAAAGTACTTATCCAAAGATGCTTGATGTCGCTTCTCAATTTCAACACGTTGAATTGCAATACCTAATTTTCTTATGATATTAATATTAGTAGCAGATGCCCCAATTACAATTCCCTCTTGATAAAGAAAATTAAGAGCTTGTGAAAAATTTACAGCCACAACAGAAAATGGTATGGCAGAAGGTAATGGTAATGGTTTGAACTTGAGTTTTTCTGATGGAGGATTAATTACTTGAGATAAAATCTCTTTATCTGACATGATAATTTCTTGAATAACATTATCATCAATATACAAGAATTCTAATAGAAAGACAAGAAAAAAAATAATTGTTAAGTAACATACAAGAATTATAATAAGGGAGGAAGAGAGGGAAATGAATTACTTGTATAAAAACATTTAGTAAGTATTGTATTATCTTCTACATCCATTGGATTATCAAATTGAAAATGATTAATTAATTCATTTAATTCATTTTTTGAATTATGTTCTTGTTACTCGATTATGTTAGGGTTAATTTCTTGAATTAATTGATGAGTGAGAGGAAGAAGAATATCAGTTTTTTTCTAACAATTACGAAGAGTTTCTGTGGAAATATTTGCCCAGGCATCAGCAGTTGCATGAATGGTATTAAGAATATTAAAAGCAGTTAGTGTTTCATTAGTTTCTAATAAAAAAAATTATAAGTAGTAATAAATACAAATATAAAAATAAAAAAAATACCTTGACTAGTATCAAAAGCCTCAATTCGATTCTGAA